TAGAACTATAGTTGAACCTCGTTAGTCCTGAAACACCACCTCCCGAACTATCTTGTTTCACTGTAGAGAGGTTGTAATTTAGAACGGTTGTGAAACCTCGTTAGTCCTGTAACACCACCTCCCGAACGATCTTGTTACACTGTAGAGAGGCTGTTATTTAGAACTATAGTTGAACCTTGTTAGTCCTGAAACACCACCTCCGAACTGTCTTGTTGCACTGTACACCGTTTAGAGAAAAAGAATTCGGTTTCATTGTTGCCTATAAAAATGCTTACTCTATATCTATACTGTCTCCAATTCGGGTGGCTAAATGTACGTCTACCTGGAAAGTGGAAATTCTGCGGTTCGATGCCCTGACCGTATCCAGCAAAAGACTTTCCAAGATGGTATTTGTTGTTACCCTGCCTGGCGCTCTGTATGAAGGAAATAATACGGCAACGAAAACCGTGGCTTTAAGCGATAAATGCTCTGCTTCAAATGAAATCGTTGTTCAACTCAGCGAAATATTATACGAACTCAAACATATTACGTTTTAGCTAATTCCCCGAAGCGTGTTTGCAATAAACTAAACTGCCAGACAAATCTGCCAGGCAAATCACCCAATTTTGATGGCCCCGGCAGTTTTGGATAGCAGACAGCTCTCTGACGCTTAAACATAACTGGATATTCAGAATATATTTTATCATATTTTGTAGAAAATATGAAAGTATTCTATATTTGTTTTGGTTTTTTTTTGGAAAAAAACGAAATATTTTAATATAACCGTACAAAAAGTATTGACATATATGTTTATGTTAAAATTACTTTTATCATATTATTAGTGTCAATTCTTAAGCCAGTATTTCAATCTAGTATGCTTATGATGCTGATAGAAAATGCTCTAAATCAGTTATGCTTGATAGCAAAACTACGACGGACGCTTTGCCCGAGGGGTCATATATCAGCTCTCATTCTTTTATTGAACTAACTTAACTCTTAATGCGCGTAATCATTCAGCTAATGACCAATAATTACATGTTGATGAGATACCTCAAATGACCAGTCCTTTATTGCGTAAGGAAGGTGGGCCCGTACTTCCGACCGGAGGGCCCTTTATTCATGAACTTGTGAAGATCCGGGTTATAATGGGTCTTCACTATCCCATGCTTGTCGTAAAAGGCGATTATGCTTGTCGTAAGAGGCGACTGACGGGATCGGGTGGTCAGGCTCGCTGACTTGGTTGATACATGTCATCTTATCCCAATTGCTTTGGTCGATGCTCATGATATCAATCACTGGATTGTCTGGTCCAGACACTTCTTCATCCTCGAATCATGTTAATCTCAAATCTGCTATATGCCCTTGTTCCAGGTTCTACCATATCTTTCTTTTGAGTCGACCAATCAAATTGCAATATGGGATCCGACATGATGAAAGCAGACAGCGCACGAGAGTTAAATAACTTAAAAATTAAAACTAAAAACAGATTTACATATTTGATAGCCATCACTCTAGAACCTCGTAAGTATAGGTCTAACATTTAGGGGTTTTATTTTTTGCATGTTCCTTAATCCTAGAATGTTAAAATTTTAAATAATGGAGCCCATTCATTAGTCATCACTCCTACACGGTAGAATAAAGTATCTCTGTTTTAGGTTGATATGGAAGGGTAAAAAAAGATAATTTATTCCAGGTGTTCAAAACTGTTAAAATCAAGATTGTGATCATTGGATTTGATATCCATAAAGCTGTTGGTTTTAATGCAGGGAAATATATACATTGTTAAATGGTGTATGTAAATGCCACTTACGCCTACAAATAGAATTCTGGTATTTTTCCGTTGTATTCAACAGTTTCGGTATTCATGAACTGGAATAATGTCTCTTCGCTTAATTATCGTATCAAGCGACATATAATTACCTTAACTGTCGGGTAAAAGAAAGAAAGTGCCAGAAAATAGGATTTGACCCAAAAACAATTAAACGTTTCTTGGCTGCTTATAATCTCGGACAGACTGCATACTTAAAGTTAAAAACAAAACTTTGTTACCCGTATCAAAATACGTCACCACATTTAATAACAATTTCATTCCTTGTTTTATCATCAGCCACCATGAAACATAGGTGTATACTTTCTTTAGCCCGGCAGTCTATTCATTTTTAAAGAATCACTAGTATCTGGCAACCCAAACCCCAGTTTTTTAATCAAAGTTTCAATCTCATAATGAAAGTCCATTAATTAGAGGTGTGTGAAAGCACAGTTACATACTAGTAAGTACATGATAGAGACTTCTGTGTGTATTTGAAGAAGGAGTATGTTGGGCTAATTCAAAGACCTTGCAAATTGAATTCACGTCTTTCAAGCACTACTTTGGTTGTCGGCAAAGTACGATGTCATGACATATATCAGTTTAACAGTTAATGACAACCTAACAAACATGAAAAAGTGTATCACTGCACTAAATTTAAAGTCTAGACCTAGAATAGATATGAACTGCAAATCGTTGAGCATCGACTCTCTTTAATGAATCAAAAGCTGGATCGTTGAGATACATATCTGTAAACTTCATTCCTTGATCCAAGGGGCTTTGGTTACCAAACCGTGGCGACCACAGATGCAGTTACGTATCTATATTCAGACGTTCACGACAATTTGTCATGAATGAAAGCAAATGCCATCTGACGTTTACTGAGGAATCAATATATACTTGAAATCTGGACTTCTTCATCGATAAGGGGCGGTCGGGTAGCCTAGTGGTTAAAGCTTTCGCTCGTCACGCCGGAGACCCGTGTTCGATTGCCAACATGGGTACAATGTGTGAAGCCCATTTCTGGTGTCCCCCGCCGTGATATTGCTGGAATATTACTCACTCACTCACTCCTCATCGATAACATCAATGCAAAAGTTGGGGGTAAGACTTTTAGGCAAAACGTAGGCATCCTCATGGGCACCAATTGTGTTCCCCTTCTTGCGGATCTGTTTCTTTGTGCATATGAATCGGAATTTCTGCTCGGATTGGCAAAGTCAAAACAATGTAATTTGGCCAAGAAGTTTTACTGATATCGTTCACTAACCATCAAGTAGCCATTTCCTCCACTGATTTACCCCTACTGAACTGGAAATAAAGGAGACCAGTGAGACGGCCTCATCAGTTTCAAATTTAGATCTTAGTTTATGAGTGAGTGAGTGAATGAGTTTATGAGTGAGGTTATGAGTTAGTTTATGAGTGATGTTATGAGTGCGTGATGTTATGAGTGCGTGCGTGTGTGTGTGTGAGTGAGTGAGTGAGTGAGTGAGTGAGTGAGTGAGTGAGTGAGTGAGTGAGTGAGTGAGTGAGTGAGTGAGTGAGTGAGTGAGTGTGCTTTTAACAGTACCCCAGTTTTAGCACGGCGTGTCAGCTATATGTGGGAGGAAAATCTGAATCCACGAGCACGGGTATGGTGCTGACAAACGTAGAAACATAACTGGGGCGAACACCGGGATTCCAACCCACAATCATATGTATCTGGGACGCAACTCTGCACAGCTAATTGCAGTGCCCTGACGACTGGTACCCTGTACTTTATGTTTGTTTAGGCGTTCCCACTTCATGTTGACTTACGAAGTAGCTATGCTTCACGGTTTCAATGTCTGTCATATATTTCAGTAAAGTATTATAATATGAAGCAAAAGTATTCGAGCATATACCGCCCCATACTTTGTTTAAAGATTTAAAGACTGTTATCATTCAGACCAAAACAACACTCTAAACTTTGGATTCAACTAATGCCACATCACTCTATATTTTGGCTGAAGAGTTGACGTCTAATTCTAACATGGTAGAATGCAACTGTGCTTTCAATGGACGAAGTTACCTGTATATTTAACCGCGCTTAATGTAACATTGGTAACCTCACGCTGCGCGCATGGTTCCAAGTTCAATTAGCGCTTGGAAAAACGGTATTTTTATCTCCAATGTTTTTAATTTGACACCTTGTGCATTCCAGTACAACTAGAATGCGAGATTGGTGTCGTATCTTTTTGTCTTGATAATACTCATATTTGACATCACACTTTTTTATGTTACAGACATAAGAATAAAGTAGTTATATTCACAATTTGTGTCAGGTCCTCAGGTATTTATTATAATGCGATTTTTTTCTTTTCTGGCTCTTTGTTAACACTTTCCTCCATTCTTAAACAAATCGAGGCTAAACTTATTTCATTTGAAGTTCAACAGTTGTATATGAAAATAATTGAATCTCATCAGAAATTAATTAAATGAATAGAATCTTAATATTACGCTATAAATTATTACGTTATTTTTTTAGAATAAAAAGATATATGCAACATTATCTGACCCCGTTGTTGCCTACCTTAACATTGAACCACTTTTCTTCAAGATGTATTTTTCACAAAAATGCGTGGTATGTGTGGTATTTGTGTGTGCGTGTGCGTGTGCGTATGCGGGTGTGTGTGACGGAAGTAATACAATTTTTATCATATTATGTCCTTCTTCAAATCGGACCAATCAGAATCAAGACTTCTTCAGTGTCATGGTAGAAATTCCTTTGTGACAAAAGACATTTAGTTCTTTCTTCGTCTTGAAACCCTTGTAAGTTTCAGAGTAACCCAGTCTTGTCCGGTTATGACAAAAACGTTGTTATATATACATACCACACGTGTAATCAGTCGTGAGTCGTGAGTTACTATTTTTGTCGGTGTATTCTCACACAACACCGGATCGAGAGGCATGTGTGGTGATTACGTTATTCGAACGTCTACCAGAGCTATGATTCAGTGAGTTTACACCAGGGCTGGTCTGTAAATGGAAGCCCATAGTACACTCTGCACAATGATATGGAACCTCCTATACTTCAAAAACCCACGTGCCCCTTATCAAAGCTATGATCCAACATACATTCTTTCGGTTTGAGGCACCGTTTAGTCTATCAAAGTTGTGCAACATGAGCATGCTGACACTTTACCAGTTTGCGCATCATTACCAATGCTGTTTTGACATAGGAAATGTGTAACACGTGTTGTTTTCGTAGTTTTTATTTGTAAAATAAATACTCCCTGCGCTTTAGTAATAGATAATGACTGATGATGAACAGAACATGCAATGATATGAATACAACCGATGTAGTTATGTCACATGAGATGAACATATGATAAATTATATTATAATTTAACTAAATTGACATTTCACAACAGACACACCGGTTGCAGCTTTCAAATAACTCTTTCTGTTTATGGAGGTGTTGGTGTGACAGCATCCATGTTGTCGAATCCCAACTTGCAGCAGGCCAGGATAGGCTCCACACACACTTGACGTCCATCAGTGCCAGTGGTCAAGGATGTACACAGCTGGAAACAGCAGTAAGCTAATATCATTCATTTGTCTCAGAGAGCTTAAGGACACCGGTTCAAGTCTTATGGACCTTATCCTATGTCCTTATTTAAAAATAAAATAAGTACGACTGATTCACACTTGATCATTCTTCGTATTTCTCCACTTTTCCAATTTCCGTGATACGCAGTCAGTCAGTTTGATTTCGATGAACATAATACCAGCCATGTTGGTCTCATAAGACTATGGAACGACATTATATATGATTTAAACAAACCACTTACAGCCATTCCACGTCCTCCGTATCTCTCGAGCTGTCTGAATGGTAGGTTGGCAGAGCCCAAGTCAACGATAGTCTCCTGGTTGGTGGTGAGGGTGACAGAGGTGACAACTCCGGGGGTGGTGGTCGTTCCAGTGCCCCATGACTGACCCCATCCTTGTCCCCACTGCTGTCCCCATGGTTGACCCCACTGTTGACGAAGACCTTGACCCCACTGTTGGCCCCAAACGTTGCTACAGAAGAGACATAGTTTGATATTTAAGATGCATTTGACAAGTGCTCTGTTTGAGTCATGATAAAAAGTATTTTACTGTGAAAAATGTAAAGATTCTTTAATCATATTCTTGGGGAGACTCATGACGGGAAAACAATGACACACAAATCACTTTCCTGGTATAGCTTTAACTTCCTAAACCCCTTCCAAGGGACCCAAAGGACAAAGTACCCGCCCTTACCTTCCAAGGACAGGCCCGAGTCCATCAGCAGTACATCCTGCCTCCACGCGAGATCTCTCAGTGATAACAAGGTTGTAAGTTCCTGACGCGGTTGTGGTCCTCAGAACGGCAGATCCAGACAAACCATTACGAGACTGACCAAACTATAATGAAAAATAATAAAACTCAGTTTTGTTCAAAACACACTACACGAGAGTAGTCACAATGGAGTAGCTGTTGCCATGCAAAATAAAGTACTTGGAATTAACCACAAATTACAAACCTTATCAAAACGTTTCCAGGCTGAAAACAGTGACCGATACACCGAATTTGAGGTCCAACTGTGGTATCCATATCAAATATATCGCCGTCTAATAACCATTTCTTAATTTGTTACACCATCAATTAGCCTCCATCTAACATGGGTGTATAATTTCGTTTACCCGGCACTGTATTAACCTTTCAAGAATTATCTGACAACCCGAACCAATTCATTCAATAAATAAAACTACTTACACCCCATCCTCCCAAAGTTGGCTGCATCCTCTTCAGGGTCAGAGACATAGCAAAACCTGTTGCTGTTCCAGTGCATGTGATGGTCGTATCTGGGGGGAATGTAAATACAGTTGAACACTGTTCATCAAGAAACATACACATACACATACAAGTAGTTAGTAAATGTGCAAGCTTCTTACGGATCGACCGTTTACTATTCTCAGATTGTGGCTGAGGATTTTATTTTTGATCACCGTTTCAACACAAACATTTTTTCTCTGAAAGGAGGCAAACATATGGGGTGTGATTTACCAAAAACCCGTTCATTTTCAAGACATCCAGCATGTAAGTTTACAAAGTATATTGAGGGATACAACATTTATTGGGGGCATAAACCCCGAGGATTACTGTTCAATATTTCGGTATTATTTAACAACACTTGCGGTTGAATGTTCGATTTCCATAGAGCGAATTCACCTTAACTTAGTTGTACAGTGGTTACATAATCTATGAATACTTACTCTGGTAAGGGTTGACAAAGTTCTGGCCCCATCCTGCTCCTACTTGACCCCAACCCGAGCTGCCAATCCCAAGTCTTTGGGTACCAAATACAAGGCCGCCGGTACCAAATCCAATCGCAGCAGAGCCAAGTCCAGCTTGGCCTAAAGATGCTCCTGCCTGACCCAAACCAAGTCCTGCATTACCTTGACCAAGTCCGGCTTGACCCCAAGAAGCCCCTGCCTGTCCCAAACCAAGTCCTGCATTACCTTGACCAAGTCCGGCTTGACCCCAAGAAGCCCCTGCCTGTCCCAAACCAAGTCCTGCATTACCTTGACCAAGTCCGGCGTTACTCTGACCCCAACCTTGACCCAAAGTCAGGTGAGCTATGACAGATAGAAGAGCTACTGCGAGGAAAGCCATGGTAGATTTGTACTCGAGAAGAATCTGAGATAATGCTGGTATCTATCTGACCGGGTTTATATACACTACAGGTATAATAAGCTGGTAATTAATCACGTCACAGACATTTTAAGAGGGGATCAATCGGAAGTCCTATCCCATGTACCTTATGTAATTAAGGACTGGCTTTGAGAGATATACAGCTTTCCATGATACATTAAGAGTGATGCATTCACTGATATCCAGCTCTTTCACCCCAAACATTTCACTCACGACGTTTCTTCAAGTTATGAAATTTTGTGATCCTTATATATTTCTGCGTTCACTATATCGAGAGTATGTTGTTTCCTTATGTAACAAAACTGTTATAAGAAACTAAGTCTGTAATCATTCTGCCCTTCATAGTAATATGATTATAATATATCTGCATACATTCTACAAAATTTAACGTTCTCAGCGTTCAAATGCCATGCGCAAATGTTCTGGAATTTTATAAGCGAGTCTTTCGGTCACCGGTTCATAATTATATTATTTCTCCGAAAGGAAGAAATTATCAATCCAGCATCAAAGCTGAGGCAAACAACTTTTCTAAGTATTTTCTGCAACAAATTACTTTTTTAAACATCCCTAATTCTATTGTTTGGAATTAGAAGTACAAAGGGTTAATAATAATACCACTCTTCTAACCCCAATGAAAACACTAAGGGGAATGTAGTTATACCATCAAGCCTGAAGTTCATTATTATGCAATCAAGGTAAGGAATGGCCCCTATGTACCAGTGTGTCAAGGTTTATCTCAGTATATGACAAGCTATTTCACAACAGGAAACAGAATGGTCATACAGAATGGTCATACAGAATGGTCATCCCAAATTTAGCATATGAACAACCCAGTTCTTTTATTCACTTACGTGAAGGGTAGGCAGGGCAAATGCATACCCATTTTCGAACACATGGCAGGCATTTCGATGAAAAGACAATACGCTCCTACTGTGAAGGTCACAAGACCGCATAGTAAATGGCTTAGTTGTCTCTAATACAGGCGCTGAAGATGAAATATCCAATAACCTATGACAATGTAAACTATTCATTTTCAATTTGAACATGACGTGACGCTCAGCCCTCATTTCAGTTTAACAATATTTATGAGATATTTAACAACAGAAATCTTGAAATATTTTTATTCCGGGGCTTACCTGTTTCCGATATTGCATAACGTTGCATCGAAAGTTTAATTCTATGTGTCGCTTGAGACACTAGTTTATTATTTCGAAAAACTAATACTGTGCTTGTGGTCAATTCTGTTTGTGTATAGATACAATAAGAGAACACAACGAAGATAAAATGACTCGTTTGACGTATTAATTCATGTATGTTCTCCTGATGTAATTAAACAACGTATTTTGTTCATCTTATACGGAAATGTTTGTATTGTATAAAGAAGAATCTTAAATTTGCCATCTTAAAACATGGTAAAGTTTCTTTTGGCAGTGAGTTTACGTAAAACTGACGGCCAAAAGAACACATCGTCCAAACACAACAATGCTCTGTGCAGAAAGTTATACACGTCCACGGCACGTATTTTTGTAGTCAATGCGAAAAAGTGATAAAACATGTGCCGCTTTAGCAGCCGAAACCTCGCGGGCAATAAGGGCATATACATTATGCGGTCAGCATATCGGACACTCGCACTGCCACGACTGATACCCGAACAACGCGAACGAGCCCTGGGTATGATACAGATGGGAGCCACCCATGCCCACATTGCTGGAACTTTTGGATGCTCCCGCGTTGTTAACACAACCTGATGTTACGTTACTGACAGACCGGGTAGACATCAGACATGCCAAGAACTACGCCCTATAAAGACCGGTACTTGCGGACTTTGTATCTCCGGAATCGATTCTTGACAATGACTTCATCAGTGACGAATGCCTTATGGAATATGGTAGGTCAACAGACTCAAGGAATTAGGGCTTACAGGCATTACAGAGGACAGTTATTATCAGCGCAGCATCATCGTCAGGGATTATGATAGGCCGCGACTGTACGTGGTTAGCAGCGACGTGACTGGCAAAGGGTCGTCTTCCTTGATGAAAGTCGGTTCTGTTTGTTCAGAACTGATGGAAGACAGCGTGTTTATCGCCGAAAGTGAGAACGAACGGCGGCATGTTGCGTTCAGGAGATCGTGCCGAATGGTGGAGAGGATGTTATGGTGTTGGGGGGGGGATTTGTGGGCAGGAGAGAATACCATGGTCATAGTCAACAACATTTTGACAACTCAGCGTGACATAGATGCTTTTCTTCATCCGACTGTTCTACCATTTTTAAAACAGCTGTCATGTTGTGTTCTTTATAAGCATGCCAACCCCATACATCCCGAATCGTACGGAACTTCCTTGAAGCCAACAACGTCAACGTATTACCGTGGCATGCACGCTCCCAAGACATGACCCCCACAAAACACCTCTTGGATGTCATGGATCGTCATGTTCGACAGAGAGCTTATCTTCCAGCCAACCAACATGAACTGATCGGGTCCTGCCCTCAGACCACAGTTAGGGAAATAGCAAAGAAGGGTAATAATTGTGGTCTGAAGCCCTCTCCATGAAGAATGGCAGGGTAGCCCCCATGACGCCATCAGGCGACTGACTTGTCTGTGCGCCGGAGTGTTTTTGCGTGTCTCCAAGCAAGGTTTGGTCATACACGCTATTTATGTGACGTTTCATTGAACTTGAGCGAATTTAGATATGTGTGTGCTCTTTGTCCATCACGTTGAAATTGTGTCTTTGCTATCCCACCTCAATTCGGGCAACTGTCATGCCAATATCGGGTACTGTATGACTGTCTTTTTAAATGTTGATGTCGTTGAGATTTTGATCTTTTCAATAATTTTACTTGTGGACTTTTTGTAGTTTTTAAACTATTGTGATTTATAACCGTGATATTGTTTCATTTGGCCTCAGTTTATTTAGGGTTGTTTCCGAGCTAATTCTTGCTCATGAGTGAGTGAGTGACGCCGCTTTGAGCAATATTCCAGCAATATCACGGCAGGGGACACCAGATTGCTCCAGCATGAGGTGAATTATTACATGTAGAGTTTTCTGCAGTCAGGTTAACATTTACATGGGATTAACGTACAAATATAAGATAATAGTTTTATCGAGGCGTGGAAGACGTGGTGAAAGAAGAGTGTTTGAAGTGGATGTGGTGACAATTTGTCAATTTGTCTGTAATAATTATTCTCATTCAACCATTGACCACAATATTATGCTGGGTTGTAGATTGGGGTATTCCCACAAAGTAGAACTTTGGATTTTCGTTATGAAATGTGTTCTCTCAGGAACCGAAAAGGGATATTTTATTGAGTTGAGTTTCACTCAGAACTCTGTTCAACAAATTTGATTGATTCAGGACATGATTACCTAAGCTGTGAAGTCAATTGAAAATGACATGGAAAGCATAAATACTATCACAAAATGAATGCTGGTGTACAGTATCATTTTCATTATGGCAAATGCACAGTTGGACTACACGTTCATTCCTTGGAATGGTTAATTCCATTCTCTGTTAATGTCTTGCTTGAATATTGCAAAATCTGGCAAAAAAGCACATTCACTACTCATTCTTACTAATCGGCTTGTTTCTTTGAATCTATGGTTTGTTGTGATCTCTAATCTCAGTAAACCCGTGGAGATCCGAGTGGAGCGTTAAACAACAAACAAACACACCCTGATCAATCATTTTTTTCGTAGAAAGAGCATACTGTAATTTAATAATAAATATAATATAATAATATAAACACCAACAGCTCGAGCTGCTGAAATATTGCTCGACATAAAGGGAGTTGGCTAAGTCATCCCTCTTGTCATACAGTCTAGTCGATAGTGTCTCTTTATGCATAAATCCAAATATGAAACAGACGATTTCTACTTCAGTTGGGTTAATCAGGGGAAGGGAATACGCTATTTAACTATTTATTGAAAGATATCAAGATCATCTATATGCGGGTGGCTTAAGGTTTACTTCTTGGCCAAGTTCCCGAGCAGAAATTTCGATTCGTATGCATTCGTAGTCACGAAAGCCCCACAGATCAATGAATGAAGTTTGCTCTTAAGTTTGCTGTGTGGATTAGTGGTCAATAAAGTTGAAAAATCAAATCTAGTAATGTAAATGAACTCAGTTCGTTATAGCAGTGAGTGAGTGATTGAGTTGGGTTATACGTGGCTTTGAACAATACTCCAGTTATATCACGGCGTGTCAGCTTAATATGGGAGGAAAGCTCGAAGTGATGCACGTTTACCACTTCGGTGAAACCCACGAGCACGGGTATGGTGCAGACAAACCTAGAAACATAATCGGGGCGAACCGGGATTCGGGTAAGTGGTGTATACGTTATTAGCATTTGATGGTTGTTTCACATATATTTCTCTGAAGTCTATCAGAGCTATGATTGAGAGAGGTAAGGTTTACACAGACATGAAACATGTTTCAGTCATATTAATATAAATGGAAAGCACACTCAAAACAATTCATTGCGGCCCCTTAGACCCCAGGGTCACACGTGCCACCTTACAAAGCTATGGTGCAACATGCGTGATTTGGATTTGAGTCACCCTTTTCTCTATCAAAGCTTGACCCAACATGATTCCTTTGGACTTGCATAAACCTTCGTCTACCAAAGCTGTGATCTTAAAATCACATGTGCATGCTGACACATTACCAGTTTGCACATTATCACTAATGCTTTTTTGACATAAGAAGTATGTAACACGTGTTGTTTTCGTACTTTTTATTTGTAAAATAAATACCTCCTATGATCTTTGTGAAGAGCATTAATAATGATTGTTGATGAACAGTACAAGCAATGATGAATACATGAGATGAGAAATATGTGAAATTCATACAGATAAGAATAGTTTTCACACACATGTAATTTACATACAGCATTCACACACTTGTTGCAGCCTTCAGATAGCTCATTCTGTTTATGGGGGTGTTGGTGTGACAGCATCCATGTTGTCGAATCCCAGCTTGCAGCAGGCCAGGATAGGCTCCACACACACTTGACGTCCATCGGTGCCAGTGGTCAAGGATGTGCACAACTTGAAAAGAGCAATAAGCTAACGTCATTTGTTTATCTTCGAGAGTTAACGACGTTTTCATAAGAACGCCTGTTTATCTCTTAACCTGTTGTGATGTCCTTCCTTGCCTGACGCGATGTCCTTCATTTTATAAAATGACTGATTCTCGCATTGAGAATTCTGTGAATTTCTGTATCATTCTAACTTTCAATTTACCCCGACAGTGGGTTTGAATTTTAATGTACATTATAACAACCTATCTTCGGGTCTCGACAATAAACGACAATATTTAGTATTCAAACAAACTAATATACTTACAGCCATTCCACGTCCTCCGTATCTCTCGAGCTGTCTGAATGGTAGGTTGGCAGAGCCCAAGTCAACGATAGTCTCCTGGTTGGTTGTGAGGGTGACAGAGGTGACAACTCCGGGGGTGGTGGTCGTTCCAGTGCCCCATGACTGACCCAATCCTTGTCCCCACTGCTGTCCCCATGGTTGACCCCACTGTTGACCAAGACCTTGACCCCACTGTTGGCCCCAAACGTTGCTGTAAAAGAGACATAGTGTGGTATGTAAGATGCATTTGAAAATTACTCGTTTCCGATCATGAGGAAATGTATTTTAAGTTTGAAAATTTAAAGATTCTTCAAAACATTCTTTAAAGATTTTCTTGTTGAGACATTATAAAAACGTGGTGGATGGTTAAAAACAATGTCACTATACTACTTCCCGAACCCTTTTCCAAGGGACCAAAAGGACAAAGTACCCGTCCTTACCTTCCAAGGACAGGTCCGAGTCCATCAGCGGTACATCCAGCCTCCACACGAGATCTCTCAGTGATAACTAGGTTGTAAGTTCCTGACGCGGTTGTAGTCCTCAGAACGGCAGATCCAGTCAGACCGCTTCGTGATCGACCAAACTACATAGAAACACTTTGAACTCATTTCACTTGAAAACATACACTAATGAGATTAGTTCTAATGTAGTATCTGCAAGGCAAAAGAAAGTATGTGGTTTCGTCCAAAACATTACAAACGTTACCAGCCTGAAAACAGTTGCCGAAACACTGCCAACTTAAGGTCCAAAACACAACTATGATACCCGTATCAAATACATCACCATCGAATAATGTCTTGCTTGTATTATTTTAAGCCACCATCAAACACGGGTGTAAACTTTCTTTTGCCCGACAGTTTACTAACCTTTCAAGACGTATCTGACAACCCAAACACTAAACCACATTCAGTCAATAGATAAAACCACTTACACCCCATCCTCCCCAAGTTGGCTGCATCCTCTTCAGGGTCAGAGATACAGCAAAACCTGTTGCTGTTCCAGTGCATGTAATGGTTGTATCTAGGAAAAAATACAAGCTTCTTAGGGATCAATGGTTTACTATCCTGAGGCGGTGCCTCGGAATTATGGTTTCGGTCACTGCTTCAATACAAAGAGTTAAATTCTTGCAAATACAGTTGGACACTTCATGTCACGCAATATACTCATACAAAAATTAGTTTCAGTAATAAGTAAATGTACAAGCTTCTTAGAGATCGACCGTTTACTATTCTTTTGCGGTGCCTCGGAATTATGGTTTAGGCCACTGCTTCAACACAAACAATTAGATTGTCTGAAAGGAGGCAAACGTCTTCTTTTTCAACTAGACACACATATTTTCAAGACATCCAGCATATCCAGCGTACAATGTATGTCAGGGAATAAACCAAGAGGCTTATATTTCCAGTATTTCCTGTCTTATTGTACAAATCTTGCCCTTGGTCATTCGACAATCATAGAGAGAATAAACCTTACCCTGGATGTACAGTGGCTATAACTAAAATTAAAGTATCTATGAGTACTTACTCTGGTAAGGGTTGATAATGTTTTGGCCCCATCCTGCTCCAACTTGGCCCCAACCCGAGCTGCCAATCCCAAGTCCATTGGTACCAAATCCAAGTCCACCAGCGCCAATTCCAAGTCCGGCTGGACCCCAAGAAGCCCCTGCCTGTCCCAAACCAAGTCCTGCATTACCTTGACCAAGTCCGGCTTGACCCCAAAAAGCCCCTGCCTGTCCCAAACCAAGTCCTGCATTACCTTGACCAAGTCCGGCTTGACCCCAAGAAGCCCCTGCCTGTCCCAAACCAAGTCCTGCATTACCTTGACCAAGTCCGGCTTGACCCCAAAAAGCCCCTGCCTGTCCCAAACCAAGTCCTGCATTACCTTGACCAAGTCCGGCTTGACCCCAAGAAGCCCCTGCCTGTCCCAAACCAAGTCCTGCATTACCTTGACCAAGTCCGGCTTGACCCCAAGAAGCCCCTGCCTGTCCCAAACCAAGTCCTGCATTACCTTGACCAAGTCCGGCGTTACTCTGACCCCAACCTTGACCTAAAGCCAGGTGAGCTATAATAGATAGAAGAGCTACTGCGAGGAAAGCCATGGTAGATCTTTACTCGAGAAGAATCTGAGATAATTCTGTTATCTATCTGACCCGGTTTATATACACTACAGGTATAATAAGCTGGTAATTAATTATGTCACAGATATAAAAGAAGACACCAATCGGAAGTCCTATCCCATGTACCTTATGTAATTAAGGAATGGCTTTAAGTGATCTACTATTTTCCCAGGTAAAGTAAGAGCGATATATTCATTAATATCCGGTCCTTTCACTCCAGACATTTCACTGATAGCGTTTATTTACGTTATGCAATAGTGTGATTCACACATCCATTCCTGTGTAATCCGCCTTTGAAATTTCTTTAGTGTTAAACGGTTTATTCAGACATTGTCTTTAACTACATATACTGTTTATTGCATTCTTATAATTTTATGAATATTATGAATAAAGTTGATAAAATATATGCATACTTTCTATAAAATATAACTTTCTCAGCTTTTAATTTTCATGCTCAAATGTTATGCAAATAATGGTCACAATAAACTGACGTACAAAAGGCAGTATACTATTGAAAATAGGATTTGACCAAAAAATTACAAACGTTATTAAAACGATACAAGGCCGTAAACACTGCAAACTTAAGGTTCAAAACACAGCTATGATACCCGTATCAAATATATTACCATGGAATTGTTTCTTTCATTTTCAGCCACCATCAAACATTGGTGTTTCCTTTCTTTCGCCCTACAGTTTATTTTTCTTTATGAACAAATTGTTATTTACAGAAGTGAGTCCCTGTGAGCTTTTCACTGATTCAAGATTAATATATTTATCTGAAGGGGAGAGTCGAACAATGCTTTGTTTTCAAATTACGTTATTATTTTCAGGACATCCTGCATGTCCAGCGAAGCTGTTGCAAAACAACCTTTCTCCGCAAAATTGTAATAAAAACTGCGGCAAATTGTAATAACCACTGCGGTAGATTGTAATAAAATATTATTCGTTTGCAAATATACAAAGAAATTTGCACGAAGTTTAAAATGTGCGACTAAGCTGTTTGAAAATCGAAATCTGAAACGACTGAATTGATAAAGGCAACTGTACATAAAATTCTTGATATCTGTATTTACAACAACAAAAAAGATTTCGAGTTCCAGTGTTTGTTCGACCTTAACAAGATCAATTCCAACCTCCAGCATGTTTAAGGAAAAAAATGCTATTTTGTTTCAATTTCTATCATTCCTATTGAAAGACAGGTGCGACAAATTGTAATACCAAGTGCGGTAAATTGTAATAACATCTCCACAACCTTCCGATTTCAAACTGAATTCGAGTTCCAGTGTTTGTTCGACCTTAACATGATCAATTCCCACCTCCAGCATGTTTAAGGGAAAAAAAAGAAGCGATTTTGTTTCCCGATAACTGATCTTCTGGGTCGGATTCCAGCCTCGCGAAGATGGTTACTGACAGTCTGGTCCGATATCCTCCTCAAACCAGGGATGCGTCCTACAGTCTCCGTAGCTGTGGCATTGCGATGACGTAGGTGGAACAGTCGAAGGGGTGCAGGGGTGGTTGCTGTTGTTCGGCCGGTTCTCGGACGTTCTTCAGTGGAATTGAACTGTGTGTATCGGTCACAAACGTGGCAAATGGTGCTGTGGTGGACGTTGAAGTGGCGTGCAACAGAAAACTGCGACTCCCCTCTTTTGATACGAGTCTCGGCATTTTCCAACTTGAAAAATGTTGACAATCAATTGAATGACAGATTATTGGTTATGCTTGCCTTTTTATACCACTACCACGAGTTACGAATGCCATAACTTGCACGTGCATTTTGCTTTACTTTTTTCCTCAATGGCATTTTTGAACAAGTCTGAAAACTATGCCGTTTTAAGACATTGCGAACCGACAATGGCAGTTTCAAACAACATATATCCAATTTATATACCGGATTTCTTGTGTAGTCAGGTTGAATGAACTACATACTACCTGTACGTTTCTTTTTTTGAAGAGTGTATCCCTCCCCCCCTTATTGCGGTGCCTTGGGAGACTAGGGCCCCGTGCCCCCTCTCTAATCTTAGAAAACTTGTTGTGTTAAAAGGTTATTGTAAGAAATCGGGCCTTGAAGTTAACCTGGAGAAGTCATGTATTTTTGTTTTCAGAAATGGCGGATACCTTAGAAATGCAGAAAAATGGACTTATGATGGTAAACATAATTATAAAAGTACTATCCCACTATAAATATCTAGGTATTGTCTTCACATCCAGATTAATTTGGTCAAGAGCGTATGAAACATTAACCTTACAAGTCAGAAAGGCTTCGTTTCCAAGTATTACCTTATTAAAAGATTATACAAACATTTCTCTAAATCTACAATATTTGACAGTAAAATAGCTTCCATATTGTAATATGGTTTGGAAATTTGGGGTTACACTTCTCGTGCAAATATTGAAAAAATAAAGAGTTTTTACTTCAAACGTTATTTATGTGTTAATAAAAAAGTATCAACCAATGCTGTACTAGGCGAAGTAGGTAGAACCTATAACTACGTATGTGTTAATTGTTTTTTTCATTGTATAAAGTATTGGTGCATGCTGTTGTATATGGATAGTTATCGATACCCAAAAGCATGTCATGACATGTTGAAATCACAGGATGAAAACGACAGCCACTACTGGGTAACGGATGTTCGTTTGCTGCTATTAGAAACCGGCTTTACGTATGTTTGGATCGCACAGGGGTGTGGCAGCATATCAAATTTTATACAAAAGCAGAGATGTAAAGCCATAGAGATTCAGAACTGGCATGCTAAAATTAATTCTTCATAATTTATAAACCATTATTCTAGTCTTGTCTGTACTAGAACCAGAGAAATATATTATGGAGTTATGTCCAAACAAAGATCTTATCCGCATATTATTTAAATTCCGATGTTTGAGCCATTAGTTGGGTATTCAACACTTTCGACACAATGACAAAGTCAATACTGATTTACTTAAATGCAAGAAATTTAATCATTATATAACTGAGGATGAATACCATTTTATTTTAGTTTGTCCATTTTATATGGAAAACAGAAAGCTCTACATCGCAAGCTACCATTACAAGTATCCATCACGAGCAACCAAAAATGTGAAGCTAATTAAAAATATTGCTATATATTTGAAAATAAATCTGCCTGTATAATGCATCAAAAATATGGTATTGAGATAGTATAACAGTTGTCCCACCTGTCCATGTGCAAAAATGTATCTCGTGTATTGTACTCTTGGCCATGCAGTCTTTGATACTGAATAAACTTCTTCTTCTATGCGGCCTTTGATACCGAATAAACTTCTTCTTCTTCTTCAAGACTATCAAAATGCGTCGTCTTATTATTAGGAACCAATTCAGTCAATTTACTTCACAACTTATGTAGTTTCTTTAACATTTGATAAAAACCTGTATGTAAAAATCGTTTCGATGCTATTAATTATAGTAAAAATATTTACTCATTTTATTTTTTGTACTTTCGATTTTGTATGTGTTTTGCCTATCTTCAGTTTTATGGTGTTACTTTAGATATGTAAAGGTGGCCATCGAACGCTCATTGAAAGCGCTGCTTTGTACTCAAGCTGTACAAAAATTATCGTTCCATTATTGGCGTCCCTGGGACTTTCTACATATAAATCCTATGTCGTAAATATAAACCTGTGTGTTGTGACAAAAGTGAACTCCATTGTGAAGTATTAAGGCCACATTGTTACTTTTTGTCTTCCAGCCTTTGGGTATAGCTCGACGGCTTCATGTAATGTTTATACTGCAAGGATAAATTAATAAAACCTTCTATAACAATATGTTCAAGGCGGACCTATTTCTCGCAGCTTCCATCAATATGAGGTGATTTGCAATTAATTAATTACATTATTGAAAGTGCATGCAAACGGAATGAAAATTTTACATGTTGAAACCATAATTTCGTGAAACAGGCTAGTATCGTCCAACTCAACCCAAACTACAAATGATCAAAACATGGTTAGATTTCCAACATATTGAAGACAACTTATTGTTCAATTTCAGCTACGGTGACTTTATAAATTAACTGTATTATTTCCTTTTCCGTCATAGATTACACAGGAATGAACTATGTTAGAGCTGTGCAGTAGGTTACACCTATCTATTGAATGAGCCACGTTAATAATGAATGTGTTCTGAAATAGATTTCATCATGTTTGACAAGATGATAATGTACAGATATCATGCATCGATGTGTAGGCCATCGATAGATACATGTATTCGCACACATGTTTTTGTGTGAAAAGGCTTGTTAATTTTCCGATTTTAATGTTATTTTGACCAATCAGAATCAAGCATTCGTTTATGTCCTGGTAGAAATTGTAATTGACAATTAGCTTATTAGACCAATGATTGATAAGATGAGTTTGAAATTTGAAATATATTTCAGTAACATCTGGGCTCGTCATATCAATGTCAATGGAAAGCCCATAGTGCACTCTACACAATGAAATGCGGTTTCTTAGAACTCAGGGCCCCACGTGACCATTATCAAAGCTACATGTATGATCCAACATGCATTGTTTGGATTTGGGTCACCCTTTCGTTTATCAACCTGTGATCCAACATGCATTCGTTGGCCTTAAGTCTCCCTTCCATCTATCAAAGCTGTGATGCATGTCTATGTTGACACATAACCAGTTTGCACATTATCAATAATTCTGTTTTCACATAAGAAGTGTTTAACAACTGTTCTTTTCGTATATTTTATTTGCAAAAATAGTATCTTGTATTCGTAAAAATACCCCCTGTGCTTTTGTTAGGAGGTAACATGTGACCCAGTATTGTCTGGTTATTACAAAGGCGTTGTCATATAAATACCACAAGTGTAATCAGTTTTGAGTTGTGAGTTACTTTTTTGTCGGCGTATTCTTATATACTACAGGATCAGGAAGCGTGAGTGGTGGTTACGTTATTAGCTTTTGATGGTTGTTTCACATCAAGTTCCCTGAAGTCTATCAGAGCCATGATTGAGAGAGGTAAGGTTTACACAGACA